AACGACTTCTGATGTCACATTTTTAATTCTAGCGACCAAACTTTTTTATGTTTTTAATGAAAAACAAAAAGACGATGAAAGATATTTGTAAAAATATTATTAAAAAATTAGTAGATCGTCGACCGTCTGGTTTTTCAGAAATTAATATGTAAAATACACAATTTTTTATTTAACGTTTGAAATATATAACAGCTAACCTGTAAAAATGTGGCAATATTACGCTATATTTACCTTTATATTTTTTGATTTTTAAAGATAGAATGATTAAATAATCTTAAATGGCTATAATTAATACGTAAAAATGAGAAAAATATAGAAGAATACGGAAAAATCCGACGCCGTAATCATTTTTCAATGACATGCATTAGTGTATGCGTCTATCGGAGCATATATAATATATTCACAAACATATATCTGACACAGGCAGTCCCAGATAAAAATATTATATGTCAAAACGTGAAAAACAATTATTTCCTTATGAGTTTTTAAACGTTATGTAAGTTTGATTGATATTATCTGCTATAGTTAAAAGTTATATTTGATTGATATTTTCTGCTGTAGTTAAAAGTTTCTGCTATAGTCAAAGTTATATCATAAATTATATTTATAAATTTAGCACTTATTTGTCCAGCTTCTTCGTATTGTAACCGTTACTTTTCTAACAATATTATTACAAACCACTCAACTACCTTAACTATGTATCTCGATATGAGAGAAATCGATCAACTAGGAGATGCTCATTTCGTCGTCTTTTTTTCGTCATCACAACAAGTGTCCTACGATAACAAAAAAAATATTAGTTAGTTTCCCTTCGCGAATATAATAAAAAATGTATCGCTGCATCGAAACGAGCCCGGCGCAACACTCGTGCGCGTCCTACTTCGTGCGTCAACTATCCACCGCGAATACTTATCGAAACATTGCTTTTCCATGAGTGTGAAAGCGTCCCGAACGGCACGAGGCTTCGGACGCGCATCAAAAAGTTTGAATTCAAAAATCTACATAAATCCGACAGGCCGAGAGACGGCCGATCGAGGAAACAGCGCGCGCCGAGCGGAAGGAAACTCGGCGCGTGTTGAATATTTCCGCGCAATTAGTAACAGCTTTGCCCACACGTGAAAGCGGCGGTAAATTAAATCAGCCGTTAGAGCAGAGAAACAGAAAGTAATCTTAGCTATAGCATCGCTCGCCAGCTTATAATCGTGCGTGTGTTATGCAAAGGTGAGTTAACTCGCGCAGCGGTCGCTGCAAGCGAGTTCAATCAAACCGAAGTTGAATTTCACGACTTCTGTCGATCTCCCTTCAAACCGCCACTCGTGCCTGACTATAATGTCGAACGAAAACTACATGGAAATAAAAGATCGATTGAATTAATGTGACAATGAACGAACGACGGGAACAGAATTTCTGGCTCTTATAATCGAATTTGTTTCATTTGTTTCATCTGAAATGATGTTTTCTCTAATGAAAACGCGTTTGATTCGTTCATTCAGCGTTCATTCGCGATGACATGCGTTCATTCACGCGTTAATTCAACCAATCTTCTTCTTCTGTGTAGTTCTCTCTTTTTATAACATTCCGTATGAGACAAATTGATTGAACTGCAGGTTTCGTTTCGTCTGACTTGACATTTTATAATATCTCGAGACATTTGACGATTCAATTCGATTTTATCACGCACATAGAGCATGACAAAATGAAACGCAACCGATAAAACGCGTCGACTCCTTATGTTACAAATAGAAAGCACAGTTACGCCGGAGATAGGTCTTGAGAATAGAAGTTATCGTGTTCTGCCGTTGGTTACGTTGATTTTTAAGGCCAATGGTTCCACGTCCGACCAGTTGCAAACCCGTTTGAGCGAGCTTAGATAATGTCGAACACCCAGACGGCCATAAATAAGACGAGACGACAAAAAATTATGGGGGCGAGTATTGGAAAAGCGTAATAATTGTTATAGAACGTATCGCCGCGTAGGCTTGCCACGGGAGAGGTTTTCCTTATTTTCTCCGTGACTATTCAACCGCCAGATACCGAGGCTCTCTTTTTTAAGAGAGATCACGAATTCTTCGGGCACTTCTATTTCGGAGATAAGACGCTTAATTGGAACGATTAGCGATACTTGGGTCAATAGGAGCAACGTATGTGCCATATAAGCGCGCAAGTTATATAACGTCGATTCGCCAGTTTCGCCAGGTTCGCGCATACGAGGAGATTGCAGATATTGAAAACGAAAGTTTTTTATTCCGTCTATTGCAAACCACACACCACCTTTTCTCTTCCTACAACCGTTCCCGCTAATCGCAGGCATCTTTACTGAATAAAATACTACTAAATTCTGTAAATTTTATAGTCTCATAAATTTCAGGTAGATAGATAGATAGATAGAGAGAGAGGAAGAGAAAGAGAGAGAGAGAGAGAGAGAGAGAGAGACTGCGGACCAAGCTATGAAACTGAGCCTTGTTTCGAAATTACAGATTGTCGGTATTAATTTGTATGAGCTTATGGAAAAAAAAAAATTATTTAGAGGGGCAGCAAATTTTATGCTATAACATCAAATAAATGAGTATATCGGGTGTTTTTTAAGTATCGTCCAATATTTTATGAGTTGATCTTTTAGATCATTTTATGAAGGAAAATTCCTATGAATATATTTATTTCTTCATAAAATGATCTCAGAAAGCAACTCCTAAAATATTGGATTATTAAGCAACATCCTGGACAATCGAAGAAAATTGAAGGCGAAAAAATGGAACAGTTTTTGATAGAAAATCCTTCCAATCCTTGTTAATCACAACTTGCAAATGCATTTGCAGTGACCCAACAGGCCATTTCTACATAAGCTTAGTATGGTTTGAAAGGCGGGCCGTTGAGTTCCGCATGTGCTCAGTCCGCATGTCCTGAAAACAAAGAGAGACGCTTCGACACGGCTATGTCCTTGCTATCACGATTCAAAAAGGACTTTTTGAAGATTGAAAGATTATTCGTTTCTTTTTTAATAAGCAACATATTTTCTTTAAAAAGCCCGAGAATTAAGTTGTACATCTAATAGATCCGAATTTTATACTTAAATCAATTACAAATATAATATCACGTGTATCGTAAAATTTGACTAAAAGATTTAAATTTAACTTTAAATTCGAATTTGAGTATTTCTCCTGAGATAAGTTTCAAGTGACGACTATTAATACAAACCCGAGGTCTGTATTAACAGACGTTATTTCAAACTGCATGTGAGATACTCAGATTTTAATTTCGAGTTAAACTTGAGTCTTTATTTGAACTGTATGGTATATGCCACATTGCATTTGTAATCGCAAATTGTAATTGAAAAATTTACGTTCTTATTTTAAATTCAAATCCGAATATCTCATTTGAAACAAGTTTCAAGTAAAGATTATTAATATCCGTAAGAGTGTCTCAACACCTATTTATATAATTCTAAATTCTAGAATCTACTTTTACACGAAAAAGAACATAATATTTCATATCTGTTCTCAACGACGGTAAAATCGTGCCCGTTTATAAAATTGCACATAGAAATGATAATTATACGTTTTCTCAAATCTACGTTGCAAACCTTGTTGTTAACCCCCGTTTTCTATTTTACATAAAAAAAAAACTGTAACCTCTCTCGTCAAAGTTATAGACACAATGATAGTTTTCACTCTCTCCCGAATGATTATCAGGAGCGACATATGACGAGACAAGACGGGGAACTCTGTTTCTCACTCGCGGAAAAGAATCGCGAAGACGGCCGAGAACTGGTGAGAAGAAACGGGAATGATTAAAACCTCGCTTTCGACGCTGCCGCGCGCAATGAGTGTACGAGCAGAGCAGAGCGGGTCTCCTTCTCGGTGAAGGTGCTCTCTTTCTCGAAACAAGAAACCTGAATCGCTCGAAACGCACGATTGTTTGGTAAACGGCTTCGTGCCGTGTGACCGCCACGTGCGCTTTGCGAGCACGTACAGGCGGTACGGATCGGCGGAAAAACCACGTAATTATCGGCCAATTATACGTTTAATGTTAATGTCGCCGAGCACGATTTAGATGATCCATTTTGCCGCCTGCTTTCCGAATCGTGCCGAAGAACACGAGGCTGGATACGGCGGCGAATGACACATTCTTGGCCGCATTCTTCAACGACAGTTTCGCAACGTGCGTCGCCGGGAATGTTATCGGTTAACTTGTATTTGCATAGTAAAAAATGTTGTGTTAAATTCAACACTTTTCAAACGTCCCGAACAAGATCCGCTCAAATTTCTATGTTAATTAGACGCAAAGTGAATATGTTAAATAGTGAAGCGAAGTAAACACAACTGACATATCAAAAATTAACAGATGGCAAACGTTACCGTGGAAAAATCATTCTAAAACTTGTAAGTGACCGTAAGGTGGCAGATAACGAACGAACGACCGAATGAGCTATCGTGCAGTCGGTTCGAGTAGCTTTGAACCGAGCCGACTATACACGCCGCCGAGTTCTTTCAAGTCTAACAGACCCCGATTAACCTGGGAGTAGTCGCCTTATTTTTTCTCTTTTACGCAGACGATCGCCGGGAGTCATTTAAACTCCATTAAAAACCGCTATTGATGACAACTTCAGACTCGAGAGACGTGCGAGATTCCAGAATTGACCTCGAGAATCGATGCCGTTTACGGAGGGAAGAGATTGGTTGAATCGACGTGACGATGAACCGAACGCATTTTAACTGAAGGGGATCGAATTTCCGACTCTTATGAATCCCAAATTGGATTACGAGGAGCAGAAATTCCCTTGGACGAAAACGTGCTTAGTACGTTGATCGTCGCGTTAATTCAACGGATTCTTCTTTCTCCGTGTCTAAATCGCTCGGGCGCCGCTCCCCGGCGAATTTCAAGTATCGCTCGGAAGCAAACCTGTATATACGATCGTGGCCTACATTCGGTTTCTCGCGAGTTTCGGCTGCACCGGGAGCCGCGTGTCGCGCGAGTATGGGGAAATACCTGGAGGTACTTACGTCATTTATGGTCGGTAGGAACGGAGCTTCCTCGATCGGATGCGCGATTGGTCTTCATGTTGCCATCGCTGCGGCCGGCAAGATCAGACTCAGCATCGTCACGATGACGAATGGTGAGAGCGCGGCGCTCCACGCACGTACAACGGTGCACACTATTCGCACGATCTCTCAGCGTCGACCGACGGCGAAGGGAAGCGACGGCGGCTGCGGCGTATTCGACAGATCGATGGTGTGCGCCTCTTCTCCGCGACTTCCGGCAGCCGTTCTTTCGCTTCCGCGCGCGGTATCGCGGTATGCATTAATTTCCGTACGATCACTAATCACACCAACACACTGTCAGATGGTCACGTCTCGGTTCTTCTCGCACGGCGCTCGTTTCCGCGTTCCTCCGAGATCCGTCCGGCTCTCAGCGAGGTTCCCTTCAACCCTTTGCGCTCTTCGCGTCGGTCGTCTATCAGAAACCGCAAGTATACAGCCGAAGCAGAGCGAGAGACCGCAAACCACCGAAGATGCACCGAATCGAATCGATGCTCACGGCGACCACGACGATGACGACGTGCAAAGGTATCAACAGTCGAACATCGACCACGAACACCGACGTAAAAATGCAAAGAGTCGAGGAAAATTCGAGCTTTTTATCTGCTTCTGCCAGCCGGTCGGACGATACAAAACTCGATTAAGCGTGACAGACAAAGAGAGAGAGAGAGAGAGAGAGAGATCGTTTAAAAAAACTTGTCCTCTCAGTTACGCAAAGCCGTAACAACACGACGGGACGCGACGCGATGGCGGCCAGTCAGAAATAAAACTCGCGTGCCTTTTACGCCGAAAAGAAGCGAAGAAAAGGTACGCGCACGCGAGTTTCGTATCGTCGGTTCCCGCTCATGCGCGCGCGCGAGCGCAAACGCGACTTGCGCTGCGGTACTTTCTCCATCGATATCGATATATCGTTAGACCGAGACGCGGAAATACACTTATGGGAGATTCTCTCCGTTTATTGCTTCCATTGTGTCCTCTTCCAGCAAGTTCTATCCGAATATCGTTCGCGGAGATCGCGAAGAAAAGAGCGAGATTCGCTAATTAGGAACGTCGAGGTTGGTGTAATTTCGATAAATTTCCGATCGTCTCGTCTCCCGATGTCGCGCGTTTTAAAGAAGCATCCCCCAACTCCAATCCACTACTTTTCTTCACGTTGCGTATATATCCGACGATACGATATATGGAAGAACAAATTTGATTGAATTTACCTGACCATGAACAGACGCGCTTTGTGTAATGAAAATAGAATTTCTAGTTATAAGAACCGAATTTTATTATAAGAACCGGAAATTCTCGGTTCCCTTCGATCGAAATGCGTTCGGTTTATTCATTGTCATGTCAGATGAATCCAACCAAACCTTTCCTTCCATATATATCACGCATCTATTGTAGACAAAAACAAACTATTGTAACGCGCTATTCGGAGTGGCACGAAACTAAGGCCGGTATCCATAGTCTTATATTAGAGTCTTATATTAGGATCTTATATTTAGAATCGTCTTAAGTTCATCTTCAGATACTATACGGATCTTTTCACTGGCTACATCTGAAAATCAATGCATCTGAAGATGAGGGTAGCACTAGAGTGGCAGCAATATTTTCTCTCCTAAAACCGTGTATGGGTAATTTTTTTTTTTAATTATCCGTGGATTTTTATTTTATTTTATTAATATCGTTTAATTGTTTTATGATAAAGAAAGCTTCCTCCAATGATAAAAATCCGAAGAAATGAGAAAATGAGAAAAATGGAATCCACAAGTGGATAAAAAAATGATCTAATCGCGATTCTAGTGTTAATATGGTCTTAAATATAAGATCTAACTTATGAACACCGGCCTCTCAGATTGATCTACAATATGTATAGTAAGCCTTTAGCCTTTTGCTCTAAGCATTAAATTATAACGTAATTTCTAGCAAAACGTGTTTCCAGCGCTACCAGACGTCGCATTTCCTAAGACTTAAACGTCATCGGTTGCGTTCAGAAAACGAGCGATCAGTGAGCGGTCAGTGATTATCGGTCTTTACAGTTAGATTCCTAAATTTAGACGAATTACGTTGACGAATAACTCAACCATTGTGTTTTCGGAGCGCAACCATTGTAACTTCTGGCAGCGCCTTTTGTCAGAAATTACGTTACATTTTATTACTCAGAGCAAAAGACTAACACCAGTATTCATAACCGGGCTTTATACTTATAAAGCTTCCTTAATTTTCTTTCCAGGTACCGTACGGCTCCGTTTCATTGGCTACGAAGCATCTAAAGTCTGAAAGGAGGCTTTAAATATAAAGTCCGCCTATGAATACAAGGCGCAAAAAGTTCACTACACTTATTGTAGATCCGGTGTGAGGAATGAAGTGACAAAGCGAAAAGGGACGTGGAAAAACGCGGGGCACGAGCAAGCCTTTCGTCTCGGCACACACACACACACACACACACATGGGGATGATCTCGCGAGTGTCTACGTAGCATCGAACTCACCGCAATCGTGCAGCCGCGGTTCCACGAGCGAACGATCGATCGATCAACGGAATCACCCCGCGTTTCCTCCACCTGAACTCGATGAGAACGGATCCGCGATCACGCGGCCGATAGACATGTCCTCACCCTGCGAAACGAATCGACAACCGAGAGCGAGCCGATAGGCGTCGCGCGCGTGCGCACGAAAATCCTACGTTTGGAATTCCCTACGAGGGGATGTTGGCGCGCGTACTGGGGTAGTTAGGGGGTTGGATCTCGAGCACGCGCACCGGTACGAATTTGAACGCGAATGCGCGAACGGACACGGTGTAACTGCGGACGTCGGTGGCCGTCGACGTCGGTGGCGCGGGTCTCTCACCTGGGAGGTGGGGAACAAGAGGCACTCCGTGGGGACCGGTGTGGACTCTCGACGGCGTTCGCCGGGCTCACCGGCGCGATCGTAACGCGGCCGTGCACGCACGGGAGAAGGCCGTCCTCCTCGAGAGAGGAGCCGAGAGCGAACGGCTGCGACACGATGTTCTATACTGTCCCCGCGAACTCGTTTTTCCCGGTGTTTCACTCACCGAAAAAACACCGCGAGGAGTAAACCGTAGAGCGGCGCTAGTCGCTAAAACACAATCGACGGTGGCACCTGGATGAAATAGAAAATGACGATGACGTTAAAATGATGAGAAAATCAGTGCACTTTTTGTAGTCATTTTATCGTGATTTTGACGTCATCGCGATTCTCTGTTCTATTCTATTTGGACTATGTTGTGCCATTTTCTAGACAGGAAAATTACACGATTTTCAAAATTATGCACAGACACATATAATATAACACACACACACACACACACACACAGATTATAGCACAATCGGCAGATTAAAAATTGCGACACTTTTTTCTATGAGTTTCGCCACGCCCCAGGTAGCAAGATGACGTCAAATGGCGTTTTAATAACGTCTCTAACGTCATTTGACGTCACCTTACTACTCGGGGCACCCCGTATCCAATAGGCGAACTTGTTTCTTAGTAATTCTCAGGAGATAATCCCACACCTTGAAACGAAAAATATCAATGTCACTCATTTTTCTATTGAATATGAAATGCGTTGCGAAATTCATTGAAAAACTGTTGCAACCTGTAATATGCCAACGTGCATATGTGTATGTACATAATTTATAAGGGTGAAAGTCGCATAAATAATTCCAGTTATAATGATATGGTTATAATGGCTTTTTGATCCAAAATAACACAAAATGTCACAGAATTGTCAAGAATGTGTCTAGGATGCCCTGAGAAGTGTCTTAGAATGTCCTAAGCACCATCCATGACGATTTCAGGACGTTTTATGCTGTCTAAGAATTATAACGGTTTTGACCTTATACGTGCATGTGTAAGGCTGAAAATCGTGTAATTTTCGATCTACAGAATGATACAACATACATAACGCCAACTATATCGTAATTTTGGTTCACCTGCTCGATGAAATCACACGAAATCGCGTCGATCTGCTGTTATGTTCGTCACAGCAGGAAATATTTTTCAGAAACTTGAAAATATCGACGAACATTACGATTGAGAGAGCGAGGCATTTCTATCGCTTTATTTTGTAATGGCGGCTTTTTCGAGCAGGTTATCACAGAGTCAATTTGGCAAACAACTTCAAGTAACATTAATATTTATCGATTTTCGGAGAATCTGTAAAAAGTAAGACGATAAGAGGACATATCAGACAAGAAAGGAACAAGCCAATAAAAGTCTTTGCACAAACTTTATAGTGCAATAAAATTAACCAAAATAATTTTCTGAACTATTCTGAATTAACATTGAAAAATATTTCTGTTAATTTTATCGCACTATAAAATCCACGCAAAGACTTTCATAAACCCCCTTTTTTCGTCTGATTGAATATCATTAAAGCCGTTTCATATAAACGTATTTTGTTATTATTACAATTATTATCACATATTTTTATTTATGAGCTCAATTTACTACTGTAGTTAGATCTTTCGATATCCGCTACGAGTGTCCGCTGTCAAAATATAGCAGCTTGATCGAGTAATCCCACACCTTGAAAGAAGAAAAATCAATGTCACTCATTAGCTCGACAGCGAAAGAGAGGAAATGTTACACGAACAGATATAGAATATTCGTCCTTTTACTTTCAAGCGAAGTGGAGTAACACGCAAGTTACCTCTCGCGCCAAGGTGTTGAATTGCAGGCCGCGTTAAATCGAGAGATATGAGTATCGCGTAATTGTCAAAGGTAAAACATTGAATCGGCATCGCGGAAACTTTAATTATCAGCGGCTTTCCACAGAACGAGTTACTTATCCACGAAATGCATCCATGGTTGGATGGCCACTTACAACGTTGCGCAACGAGTAAACGGCTAACAGCCTCGAATCGAAAGATTTCCTTTCAAACGCAATTTTGTGTCACGGAAAATGGGCATGTGTGAAAATTTTGAACACGTTTCATCTGTGTTATGTTTCCTGTCATAACACGCCGCACGTGTGTGATAAAAAAATTTCTGTTTATGGATAATTCTGATTTAGGCGCTGTTGCAAATGTGATTGCGATAACGCGCGTCTCCTTTGAGAGGAAACGATTGCGAGGTCGCCGGAATTACAACTTCTCAGCCGGAAGAGTGTATACGCGTCGCGTGATCGACTCTGTCGAGGAGACCAGAGAGATCGAGGTGTTTTTTTTAGAAATATGGTGGGTTTCGTGAAATGTAAAATTTCTCTTTGAAAGTAAAGAGAGAGAGAACAACACACACGCACACACACATACATACAGAGAGAGAGAGAGAGATATATATATGTGTGTGTATGTATACACCCAATACATATATATATATTTTTTTTTAAACATAATAAATCATTATAAATATAATTTTAATTAACAAATATTTTAAACATAGTTTTAATTATATATATGTATTTTTTTCTTAATATATATTCAAAATTTTTAAAATATATTATATAATCGAGTGCCATTTACTTCAAGTATCTAAAAAAATTTTCCATTTGATTCAGAACAATTGAAAGATTAAAAAGGAAAAACGGTGTTACATCTCAATGCATAAAAATATAATCATAGATTTGATTGTCACTGATACACAGTAACAATTAATAAAGTGAGTGGGTCACGTTTTCGCGAAAATGTTAACGAAAGTCAAGGGTCGTTCTACACACGGCTCGAATACGCACAATGATGACGGTATTGAATATCAGGCAGCAGAAAGAAGGGGAAAACAACGAATAGAAGAAGGAGGGAAAAAGGAAGGCGAAGGAGTGGTAAGGAAACGGTGCAGGCTTTTAGCAGCGATCGTTTTCCGGTTTTCCGTTCTCGCGAGGCACGAGTCCGCCTCAACCATATCCTTCGTCCTTTTCTCTCTTTCTTCGCCTCTCGCTTTTTCTCCGTTTGTCTGTCTCGCCTCTCGCGAACGCTCGACTCTCCGCTCCTATTCCGTCTGGCGCGCGCGCACGAGAGGGAAAGTATTTTATATCACGCTTGGCTTGGCAAGAGAAAGGGGACACGGTTCGCTCCTAATTTCTGCTTTAACTTCGTGAACCTATATATCACGTTGCGATCGCGATATATGTATGCGTACGTGTAACCCGACGTTGTATTCGAATTGTTCCGCGCCCGCACTCTCTCGCGCTCAACCGCCGCAAGTTTGCATCCCGATGTGAACTTTGATATCCGTATTGATACGCCGCGGACACGTTATTATACGTGCAGTGTTGCCACATAAAAAAAAATAGAAATCCCTATATTATACCCCTAATCAAGCAGAAAGAAAATCCCTCGATTTTCAAAATTTCACTCGAATACGTTTTGGATCACTTTCATCAACTTCGGTTAAGTTAACCGGTTAAATATATCGGAATCGATCAATGTAGAGTCCTAGATAAGTAGAGAAGCGACATTGAGGGAAACCGTCTGATTGGCTTGATAAATCACGTGGCTCAGCGCCATATTGTTTCCCTTTTTACTGGACTATCGTTTAGTGGACTATCGTAATAGAATAACGTAATGTTGCAATAAGATTATAATACTGTGAAATTATAATATTGTCGAAAGTCCAATTTCTTAAATTTGTATAAAAAGATTATATATTCTTGCTTATGTATGAAACAATGATCTCATCGATTAAAATATATAAGTCTTGAATTGGTACTAATTTTTTTTCTGTGTATGCGATCGTACATACAGGATATTTCATAACGAACGCAAGAAACTCAGATAGTTCGTTAGGAACGTCAAATGTTATCTCTCGCGGAGGCGTAAAAGAAGAAAATAAAGTAACAATCACACACACACACGCACACGCACTTACTCTCCCTCGAGAGGAGAGACATCCGGTATATGTGTCCGGTATTGCGAACATTTTTTGATCTAATTTACGGGCAAAGCGCGATTACGATTTCAGCGTCTGGCGATTGGCGGAATCGCCGATGAATTCTTTTATCCGAGGCTCCCAATGAGGAAACCCACTAACCATTCGAGTCGATCGCGCGAAGGGAGCAAGGAGGGGATGAAGCGCGCCGCCTCGATCGAGAGAAAGACAAAGCGCCTCGCGGAAAGTGGGAACGTAGAGTGGAGCGGAGCGAAGAGAGGAGATGCAGCTCCTTAGCGTAAGTCCGGCTAAAAGTGAAATCGACTATGCACCGCCTTGTATCACAGCCGTTATTATATGTTATCCAAGCCGCGGGGGGCAGTGGGGAAGCCCGAGGCCACCGTTACCAGGAGTTGCGCTAAGTGTAAAACATAATTCGCGCCAGGCGCGTGCATCCTGGGGTGGCTGCAATTATCGCGACATTGGAGCAAAATAGCGATAATCGCCGCGATATTTAGCGAGAATCGCCAGATTGCGCATCTGTCGGCGGTTGTAATCCGCACGCATGGGGAAATCCGCTTTACCGTTAATTCTTTCCTTTTTCCTTCGTTTTTCGTCGTGCACTCGACTCTTAAGGAACAAGCGTACAAGCCATCCGCGCTACGACCATCCACGTTAATTACGAAAGTGAAAGTACAGCTCGCCTGCGATGCTGGGATATGAAGTAAAAAGAAATCTGCGGGCTTCCTCTTCTACTTCTTCTTCATCTTCTTTCCGGTTACTTTTACGTAACTGACTAATCTCGTGATTGTTCTATATCCTGAATACTCACGTAATAACGGACAAATTTATTCTCCCTTAATAATACGAACAACTTTACACGAGTCGAAATTTTGACTAGAGCTACTTGACGCTTTTAAGGATAGTTTGCGCCTACTTAGATGACATATGGACTAATAAAAAC